GCCCTGGCTATTCCAGAGAGGCACAACTTATGGCACTATGCTGGGGCCTGGCCTGCACCTACCAAACACTGTTCAGTGCTATTCAGCACCCTCAAGGAGAAGAGAGAATCTCTTGATCTGAAGACATACCAACAGACACTTTGGCTAAACCACAAACCCAGCCTCCAACTATACCAGTCGCCCCTATAATTAAGAAGAAAAAGAGGGAGCATAAGAGAGAATCAGAAGAGGCTGCCTGTTCTGCAGCAGAGAAGTCACATGAACAGGAGGGGGAAAGGACTGAAATCATGAATGAGACAGAAACCACCCAATCCCTATCCCTAAATGAGCTGTAATATATGCAAAAATATTTCTGCTGTCAACCAGGCAAGCAAATTTTCAGCTGGTTACTCCAGTGCTGGGATATTAGGGCCAGTAGTCAGGAATTAGAGGGTAAGGAAGCCTGGCAGCTCGGATCCCTTGCTAAAGGATAAGGCCATTGACAAAGAGATTGGCAAAGGGGCAGGAGTCCTTGGTTTTTGGAAGTGATGCCTGTCGAGGGTGAGGACAGGTATCGCTTCATCCTTGTTGAGAATGACAACCAGGTATCCGAAGACCTGGATGAAATCCAGTGCACACGTTCCATGTGGTGAAAGTTTGTACAAAGTACATCGACATCATACGCCAAAACCCTGGCGATAATGAGCTCGACAGACACAGAAGCACCAACTGTGGACAGACTGGCTGGACAACTCTGAGAATTCAAAGAGAATCTTGCTTCCTCCCTACAGACCTGTGTCTCAGCTGTGAGGAAGCTGTCCCAACAATTGTCCCAGCAACTAAAGGATAGGTCTTCCTCACCCGTTCTGACCAATGTCTCAGCTATTAAGAGTCAGATTTTTCTGTTCAAGGGAGAGGGTACCAGCGGCACACACCAGTGCCACCCCTGCCATGACCAGGGGAAGGACATGAGGAAGTGGGATGGTGAACCTACCTGGAGACTAGGAGCTTGGTTACAGGAACTGCAAGAAAAAACAACAGCCAAAAGGCATCCATTCAGGAAAATTACTGCTCCAGTGCCTGTTGGGAGAATAGAAGGGTTGATCTCACTTTTGACCCCTGATGAAGGGACTTCTGCTTTGCAGTTACAAAAACCAAGTAATGAATACATTGAACAGGAATAGATGGGCCATGCCTTTGGCCAGGTGGAGGAAAGGGACAATTGGGTTTACTGGACTGTGTGGATTCGATGGCCTGGCATATCAGCCCCATGGCAGTATAAAGCTCTAGTGGACACAGGTGCACAGGGTACTCTAATACCATCAGATTATGAAGGGGCAGAATCCATCTGTAGTTCTGGAGTGACAGGAGGATCCCAACAGTTGTCTGTGTTGGAGGCTGAAGCCTAACTGGGAATGAGTGGCAAAAGCATCCTGTTCTCACTGGTCCAGAGGCTCCATGTATTCTTTGCATAGACTTCCTCAGGAGAGGGTACTTTAAGGACCCAAAATGGTACCATTGGGCTTTTGGTATAGCTGCCTTGAGTATGGAGAAGATTAAGCAGCTGTCTAGCTTGCCCGGTCTCTTAGAGGATCCATCTGTGATGGGGTTGCTGCGTGTTAAAGAAGAGCGGGTGCCAATTGCTACCATGACAGTGCACCAGCGACAATATTGGACCAATGGAGATTCCCCAGTTTCCATCCATAAGCTGGTTCAACGATCGATTGGAGAGTCAGAGTCATCAGCAAGACTCATTCACCCTTTAATAAATAGTCCCATACAGCCAGTGCGAAAATTTAATGGAGAGTGGATGCTAACATTGGACTATCATGGACTGAACAATGCCACGTCACCGCTGAGTGCTGCCATGCCGGACATGCTAAAACTCCCATATGAACTGGAGTCAAAGGCAGCAAAGAGATATGCAACGACTGATATTGCTAAGGTGTTTTTCTTGATCCCTTTGGCAGCAGAGCACAGGCCACAGTTTGCTTTCACACAGAAGGGTATCCAGTACACCTGGAATTGGCTGCCCCAGGGGTGGAAACTCAGCCCTGCTGTTTGCCATGGATCGCTACAGACCACACTGCAACAAGGCAAAGATCCTTGACACCTGCAGTATATTGATGACATCATTGTGTGTGTCAAGCTATCCCTAGGGAGGTCCCACTGTATATGCTGACACAGGCTCTGACTCATGTGAGGCTCAATTAACCCTTTGGCCTTGGATGCCAGGAGGGCTGGAACAGCACTGAAAGCAACTTTACTCATGTTTCAAGCAGTGCCTCGCTTTTACAGTGTGCGGGGCTCTGGACTCAGGGCCTGAATTGGCTCTGCCAGGTTGTGTTGCCTCCTTGAAGGCCAGGAATGTCCTTTCCAAAAAGCCCTGTTAGCACCTGAACCACTGCGTTCTGCCCTGCAGCGGAATGGTGTGCTCACAAAGGTTGCGGCTGGAAGGGGTGAGCCATGGAAAAGACTGCATGCTTTTGCCGACACCTTGATGCTATCTCCCTACCCGCTTTTTCTTTAGTGGAATAGTTTGCCCTACTTGAGTCTTGCTAGTCCCTTTCCATTGGATTGATGTTTTGGATTGAAATTAATTTGAAATTCTTTTAGAAAACTTCTTACTGCAGTATTGCTCCTCTTCAAGCCCATCCCAACTGTAAATTTTTTGCAGCCTCTTGTGTTCAGGTTTTGGTGGTGGTGGAAGGGTATTTTAAGTTAAGTTCAACCCTCTTCCTCAGGGACATGAGACAGGTCTATTTTTTACATTAGAGCCTCGTACTGGGCTTTTGTTGGACAACTTCTGTTTGGCCAAACTCTGGGAGGAGGATTTTGCCACTTTTTCCTCTTGTGAAGGAAAGCTTTGCTCCCATCTGGGTTTCCTGATGGGATGTGGCTCCTTCTACGTTATTTTTCAGTGTGTCAAGCTGTGGCTTGTCCTGCTCTGCAGGACAAGGATCTGCCTGATCACTGTTGAAGAGAGACAGAGGGCACTGGCAGCCAAACAGAGCATGGCTAAACTCTCCAGTCAGGGAACATCTGTTGAGCAGGGTATGGGTGGTGGTGGGGTTAGGGTGCCCTATGAGGCAGGAGGCCAGGGACTGCCCTGCACTGGTCAGCGCAGAACAAAGATGGCAGAGGTGCAATAAGCTGAACTGAACAGCTGAAGGGTACTCACACATTTCAAAACACACACATGCTACAGCCACCTGATGCAGTCCCAGAACCCTAGTACCAGCCTAGCTCTCTTGGCTGGAGAGCCAGCCTGTGCATCAGCACAGAGTAATTAATAACTTGTTCTTTTGCCATTAGGATTGTGATCGAAACATCACCATTCTAGCCGTGCTTTGACTGTGCTCCAAGCAGAGCTCAGCCCTTCTTGCAGGCTGCATCCAAAGGCAGGATTTCAGCTTTGTCCTGGAGCTCAGACCACATATGGCAACACAGGGACAGGAGCCCATAAACTACTGGGAGTCTGAAAGTCTTGCTGGATTTGGGAGCAGATAGGGGGTGGTTATGCTTAAAACCAAACTAGCTTCTTTCTACTGTGGGCTGTCTGTAACCTCCAGTGGGAATAGACCCTAGACTCCCTAGACAGGGGTGACGATCCCAAGACCCTGCTTGGGATCTTGAGAGAAGCCAAACAAAACAAATAACACAATTGCAGGCCTGGACTGCAGAAGAGCTCATTTTGGCTTTATCTGGGATGTGCTTGGCAGGATGCCCTAGGAGACTGCAGTGGAAAGTCAAGAGGCCCAGGGCTGCTGGATGATCTTTGAAGGAGCTCTCATCAAGCCTGGGGGCAGTGAGGCACACCCCCCACCCCAGCAAAGATCAAGGTAAGGCACTCGAAATAGAAAACAACAAAAGACACTGATCATTCAAAAACTGCTTAAAGAAAAATACTATTCACAGCACTTTTAAGGAGAAAAAAAAACCAGTAGTGAGTGTTTTACCTCAAAGAAGTTCTACTGTTTGAGATTTTGCTAATACCAATGGAGAAAGACTGAAAAGTGAAGTCTGACAGAAACAAGATAAGGGTCTTCCAGGTCTGACAAGAATTTACAGTTGATAATCAGTATCGGCTATTCACTGGGAAGGGAGTGCTTCTTTCTCAGCTGGATTACTTTCATTCTCCCAAAGCAACAGTCAAGCTAATGAGTTGTCAGGAATGTCACAACCTCCACTGCAGTAATGCAGGCAGCTCATTCTCATCTACTTGAGCATGTAAGGATTTAGATTAGAACCAAGGAGCTGAAACAGAAATTTTAACACTGCTGTCGGTTCCTTCACTCACACGAGACAGAATTCACATAACAATGCAGATGACCATGTACATGATGGGGGATACTCTGAAATGCAACAGCAAGAACATTTAAAGGATTAGTTCAACAACAGGTATTTTGTTCCGTTTCAATCTAATGAAGTTTCTGCAATTAAGTTCAGCATGCAAGAATGACAGGCTTGCGTATCTATCAGTTCTCAGCATCTTAACCTTTTCCCCTCTGGGAAAGAACCACACTCTGCCCACTGAGCCAGCAGAAACAGTCCACCTTGTGGAGAACCTCAGTGCTGGGCATGCATTACATGAAGTAAGAGAATACAGACTGTGTCCAAATAATGCAGGCACTGGCACTTTGTAGCATCCATTTCATGTCTACTCCAAACAGCTCTGGCTTTGGAATTCTTTATTTGGCTTGAAGTTTGCTGAACACAAAACCTATGTCAAAGCGCTTCCATCCCACCACTTACCTGCCTGGGTGGATAACCAGTAATCCAGAGCATTACTAGATATAAGATCAAGGTCAACTGAAGCTACTAAAAGGCAGAAGTTGGCAGCATCAGATATGACTGCAGGTACACACCTTTCCCCTCTAAACCTCCTGTTCTAGGCTCCTGGAATACATATAAAGCAATAAGACTTCTGTCAAAACACAGGGGAGGGAAAAACAACATGTTCTCTAAGTGTGTGCCATCCAGAACTGAAGTCTCTTCAGGTGCTGCTCAACCCTACCACTGAGCTAGAATTGCACTGCATCATGCAGCACCTGGGGAGATACCACTGCTTTCCATCAAGCAGGGGCAGATAAAAGCCCTTTTCCTGTATAAGTGCTCTTTGCTGCATGGGGCAAGAGAAGAGGCACAGCTAGTATCTTCACTGTAAGGCAACGTAGGGCCACCCTTCAGCCAGGAGTAGGTCTTGTGGAGCTTTTTCATGACTTTTCTGCAGGGTCTGCATTTCCTCCTTCACTCTAAAGCCGCTAGTTCCTCCAGAAGCTGCTCTTTCTCCTGCTGCAGCTCCTGCACCCGCTGTTTGTTCTGCTCTAGTCTGTCCTCCAGCCACTGAAGGAGCGGCCCGCTGATGGCAGACATCTGGCTGCAGAGGTTCTTTGTGAACACTGGAAAGAGCAAGAATACATCATGTCAGTGCAAACACACAAAGGAGTCAGTGTGCTACAACAACCCCAAAGCCAAGGCAACCCCAAAGCATTAGAGACAGCCAAGGAAACCCTCCAACAACCTGGCCAAGGCAAGCAGGCATCTCCATAGGAAAGTCAGAACCAGCAGCTTGCTAAACAGGGAAACAAGCTATTTCAATCTGACCTTTAGACATCCAGAGGAGGAATGACAGACCTACAACAGAAATCTGGAAGTCTGTACATAAGTCATCACTGATGCTAGTTAATTTCTAAGTTCAGAATCAAAGAATGCCTCATTTATTGAACAGGTGAGAATGGATAATAGGGTATTTTTCTTGGAACAAAAGCAGGATTAGGATTCACCCTATCTCACTGGCAAAAGCAATGTCATATGCACATAACATACACAAGGTGCCAGAAGATGCAAGCATGCATATAGATCAAGACACTGCTTTAAGACTCATCAGATCCAAAATCCCCTTGCTGTTCTAACAGGAAAAAAACCACAACAAAAAAACCCCCAAAATGCCCCCCACCAAACCCAAAACACTCAAACTGTAATTTTACTGTAACCTATTGTAATTTTAACCCATTGTAGAAAGGCTGAAAGATACAATAGCATCAATAAACCCCAGGATTAGGTTATTTTACAGTCCCTGATGCTTTCCTTTAAAGTGCTTAGTTACAATTCTGTTCCTCCACTAGACTTTATGTAACAAGGTAACAGTCTCGGGGAATTCTCTGATTTACACAGTGTTTGTGATTGGAAATGAACCGTATGGCAAAGAAAAAGACAAAAGTTTGCGCTTTTATAGTTATTTATAAGTGCCTTTTTTAGCAAAGGGAGAACTGTTACACAGATGTGGTCTACTGTCACCCAAAGTTTGAGCCAAACCAACCCCTGCTCAAGACTCTACTGTTTGTGGACTCTGGGAGCAGCATCCTGGATTCTCACATACAGAAAAGGAATCCTTACCTGAGCCATTATGAATCTTGGTTACAGAGTCTAGATGGGTGAGGCTAAGAGAATGAAGAGAATGCAGGTTAGTGACAAGATAGCAGTGAATGGCACATTAGGCAAAGCCAGGCTATAGAACCAGCTATCTACAAGTCACTGACACTGCAGGCACATCTAAACCTCTTCACTTGTTGAAGCCCTGTACATTCACAAGGAAAACAAAGAGCTTACAGCACAGAAATATCAGTGTTGAGCACCAGGAGCAGAAAAAAGCTGATATTTAATCTCATTTTTCAGACTTCTCAGCACTCTTACCCTGGTTAAACACTATTACTGTCACACGCAGACACATCACTGAAATGCCACCATTAGCTCACACATGCTCTAGTCTTTTTTTATTGCAGTAAAGGAGCAGTTACGCTTAGCTCGTGTGCAAGGCTGACAGAACTTGAACTCCTTAATGTATTCAATCAGTTCTCCTACAAAGACATATGAGCTGCTAATGCTTCTTATTTTCTATATCCCTGCTAAGGTTATGGTACTTTAAGTACAGCAACAATAGAATATATTAGCAAAGACAGTCTTGGAGAGGCGTGCAGCCCCAGTGTTGTTACCTGTGAATTCTCCTGTAGGCATCTTGCTCTTCTTGGCAAAGGATCTTGGGCAGCTCCACAGCCGATTCCAGACACACTTTCCCAATGGTTTCATGGGGGACAACATGAATAGGAATTTCAATCCTTTCATATCTAAAAGGGTATCAGACACAATTAACTTCAAAGTAGCAAAGGAAAAAAAAATAAAAAAAAAATAAAGGACTTCTACAAACCGGCAATAGTCTGTCAGGCTGTCCAACACATGGCATTGCTTCAGGTTTACTTTTGGGAACACATGCCAGAGTTTATAGGAAAATCAAAGCCTTTTATAACCATACACTTGTCTTAAATTTTAATGATAAAATGCTAAAGCAACTAGATAGCCAGTACTGACAATACAATGCACAGCATGTGTGCAGTTGGTGGGGACTCTACACCAAGCAAGCTTGAAGCCTTGACCTTCAGAGTTGAAAGCAAAAGGGTGGGCCAGAAGGCCGGATTAGAGCACAAATTCATACCCAGTCTACAGTGTCCTACACCAAATCCTAAGGTACTAAAATATCTAGGCTAAACTAATCAGTCCTAATCTTTAAATTCACTTCAAGCAGCCTGCATTAGCAGAAGTGTAAGGAGACCTGCTTCAGGCATATCTATACAATATTTGCTCCTCATGATGAGCCTAGAAGACACTTATTTGAGACAACCCGGAAAGGAGAGACAAGATGAAATACAACCTGATGCTGGACATAATATTCTTCTGCTATACTCACTCTGAGCTCTTCTGGGCTTGAATGGACTGGAAACAGGTGTAGAGAATCCTGCCTGTCTAAGATAGACAGCACAAAGTCAGATTCCAAGAGCAAAAAATAATCTAAGCCCACACATTCCTTTAGGAAGCAGAATATGCTTTCAAATAGCATTTTAACAGGTTGCAAAGGTATAGGCTTTTTGCTTTGATTGGTGTGCTGGAACTGTTTACAAGCAGATATTGACAGACCCATTAACTATGAAAAAAATCTTAAACCATAGCTACCTGGAAAACCCAGACAAGACACGCCACTGTCAGCTTGTCTCACTATAGCAGCATCTCCTAAAGAGGCTAGAGGCACAGAGGTGCAATAAGCTGGATCTGCTGGACTGAACAGCTGAAGGGCACTCACATGCTGCAGCCATCTGATGCAGTCCCAGAACCCTAGTACCAGCCTAACTCTCTTGGCTGGGGAGCCAGCCTGTGGATCAGCACAGAGTAATTAATAACCCATTCTTTTGCCGTTAGGACTGTGATCCAAACATCACCATTCTAGCCATGCTTTGACTGTGCTCCAAGCAGAACTCAGCCCTTCTTGCAGGCTGCATCCAACAATTCCAGCTTTGCCCTGGGTCTGATGTTTCTCATGTGTACTTGGAGGATTTATTGCCGAAAGTTGCCTACCTTTGTGTTTTTGTCCTCAATGAAGCAGGAAAAGATAAGCCCTACAAAACCTTGGTCCATCATTTGATACATAGCTTGTGTGCGGACATCTGCAGACAAAGAAATAAGAGAATGAGAACTGCACTGGTCACCTGAAGGAGTGGAAAAAGATTTGTCAGCTTTTGAAGGGTGACTGGAATTTTGTAACAAATGTGACAAGCCTAATTTTAAAGTCACTCCAGGTGATTAAGTTTAAAAAAAAATCCAATTTAAAATGTAATTAAATAGCAAATCTTAAAAATACAAGGTGACTTAACAAAACAAGAAATTACCTCAGCATCAGCCTGGTGCCACAGATCACTATATAGCCATAATCTCCAACAGGTATAAGATACTCACGCACTTCTTTCAAAAAAGTTTTAATTTTTGCATTACCACTTCCAGATGTCAAAAATCATCACAGCAGGTCTATGATTCCCACAGGTTTTTTTGCTATTCCTCATATCCTAGGTCTAGTTTTTCTGTCTGGAAGATCAGTAGTACTAGTAGTAGCTGATCTGTGACTACCGAGTCATATGCAGTTTGAGCACCTGGAGCACACAGACAGGAACAGGGCTATACTGGCAGAGGTTCCTGAAGCCCACCCAGACAACCTTGCCCTACCAGAGGGTGTTTGAGAAACCAAACTTTGATAGTTGGGTTGTGCAGCTCTGAAAACCCAGTAAATTGAGTAATAAGATTATCCAGCAGTGAGTTTTCATACAGAACATAAATCAAGATGGCTCTTACCGACATGCGATGGCCAGACAGTAATATGAGGATGAGAGTGATACCAGCCCACAACTCTCATGGGACGTCCCGTCATTTCAGCCAACCTGTGTGTGAGTCAAGGTGCTTTTGAAACCAGTAGAACAAATGGAAGAAGTTTTTTTGTGCAATGAAAAGCAGCAGAGTTTTAAAAGTTTCTCAGCAGTAAACAGAATTCCAGATCCCTTTAGATCAAGGACACAAGACACACAGCAGGAA